GGAAAGGGTTAAACCGGGTGGCTCCTTGGAGGCAAGGATTCTGAGGCTCCGTCTAACATACTTTGGACATGTTGTGAGGAGAGACCGGTCCTTAGAAAGGGACATCATGCTTGGGAGGGTCGAGGTACAGTGCAGGAGAGGAAGGCCCTCTATGAGGTGGATTGATTCAGTGACTGGGATAATCGGGATGGGAGTGTCAGAGACACTGTGATTGGCACAGGACAGAGCGGAGTTTAGGGCTGTTGTACATAGGGTCACTATGAGTCGCAGGCAACTCGACGGCGCATAACAACAACAACAACACTTTAACATTCTAATTCCTTGACTCTTTCAACAGCCTGAAAAGGGCAGGTTCAGAGGGTGACATGGAGACAATTTGTGGAAGCCAACAACATCTCTCATACTTTGGACATGTAAATGAGGTTATTTCTTGGAAAGTGACATCTTTTTTGGAAAGATGGAGGGTCAGTGAAGTATGAAAGACCCTCCAATGAGATGTATTCACACAGTGACTTCAGCAATGGGCTCTAGGGTGTCACAGATGCCAAGAGTGGCACAGAAGAGGGGGATTCAGGTCTACTACTCATTGACTTGCTATGACACCTATCAACAACAGTTCTAAAGCTCAGCCTCCATTCCCCAGTCTTCTTCCACATTATGACCTTTTAAATGATGATGAGAGCAAAAGAGAAAGGACAAAGACTGGCAGACCCAGAAGCAGATGAAAGACAAAGAAATGAGAAGCATTGGGAGGTAGAGAGAAGACAGTATGAAAGAAAGAATGATAGAAAGAAAAGGGGTAGGGGGGAATAAGAGAGAGAAAGATAAAGGCAGAGAGGTAAGGAGTGAAAAAGAGACCACAAATGTAAACAGAACTGGAAAAAGAGAAGGATGTAGACCTTGGGAGTATAGGCAAAGAGGAGGCAAGGTCCTCACAAAGAAAGAGCATCTTTTGAGAGGCCAGCTGAGAGGGAGTAGCCTCATGAGAAGATGGATTCAGCAGGCTGTGTTTCCCCCAGGCTAAGGCCACCATAGTGAGAAGGCCAAGGATGCTTCAGTGGTAGTGGGTGCTAACACGTTGGTATTGGAGAACATACCTCACCTCAAATGACACAAGGGGAAGGCTGATGGAGAGTGGGGACTCAGAGGAGACTGCAGGGCCTGGAACTAAGCATAGCCTGCAGTAGTGCACTGGGTTTTGTTGCAGCATGAAGACAATGGGTTTTCCCACTCTGGTGGTTGTTGTTGTTGATGATGATGATTGCCTTCGAGTTGAGCACAATACATAGCTACCCTGTGAACAAAAGGCCCGAAGTCTCTCTACAACTATCAACTTTTATCAAAGGTCATAGAGTTTCCTGAGACATGCTGTTTAGGAAGTGGATGCCACCCCCAGGCTAGGAACCCTGCCTCTCTGCTCATGCTGCCTTATCTTGGGTTTGGTTTCTATTCCCTACATACTCAAATGCACTATCATGCACTAGCTAACTCCATGCTAGTCCCTGGAGACACAGAGAGGAGCCAAGAGTCTACGACAGCCACAGAGAGGTGTGAGAAGTCCTCAGACACTGAGAGGAGGAAGATGTCCTTTCTGGTTTGGTATAGCAAGCTTCCGGAAGGGCTCACCTTTGAAAAGGGCTAAGAACCAAGATGGAATTGAAGATGTGAAGAAGAGTAAAGATGTCAAGATGAGAAGTCCACTATGTGAATTAAAAAACAACAAACCACTGCCATCAAGAAAAATTCTAAACCATTAGTTTTCTGAGGCTGGAAGTCTACCAAGGAGCTTTGTCCCTCCCTGGGTAGCTTTGAACTACTGATCTTTGGGTTGACAGCACACATAACACACTTGAGCTCACTCTTTGGAGCAAAGAGTTTGGAATTGGACTGGAACTGGAATTGGAAACCCCTAAAGACCTTGTTACAGTTTCCCCGTGTACTGCCAATTGAACAAAGAGATACGTCTTGGAGAAGGCATAGCCAGAGTGTTCCTTGGAGGCAGGGATGGCGAAGCTTCATCTCATGTACTTTGAGCATAATGCTAGAAAAGGTGATTCCTTGGAGAAGAACATCATGCTTAGGAAGGTGGAGGCGAAGAGAAGAAGACGCTCAACCAGGTGGATTGACATAGTGACTACAGCAATGGGCTTGATTGTAGCAAATTATGAGGTTGGCACAGGATACATGAGGGTTCATATCTGTTTTTCATAGAGTCACTAGGAGTCATTACCAACTTGATGGCACCTAACAACAACACCATTTATACTCTGTCAGAGGTAAATACATGTGACTAGAAAAGTACCTGAATACTCCTTACTTATTTAACTCACTAAGCAACCTTGACATCTACATTTTTGGGAGTCTAATTTTCTACAATATTTTTCCCATCTTTTTTTTAAACCAGTGGATTAAAGCTCTGTAACATAAATTGAATTAAATCCAACTCAAAGAAACCTAAAGCAACTGAGTCCTTAGTGGAAAGACTCCATGTCTTTCTCTTAAAAAAATAGAAAAGTGGAAAGTCAGCAAAAAGAAGAGCCACAATGAGATGACTTGACTCTGTGGCCACAATAATGGGCTCAGACATAATTCAAATTCTGAGGATGGTGCAGGGCCACACAAAATTCCCTTCTATTTTACAGGAGATCTCTGTATTAGAACCAACTCAGCAGCACCTAATAGTAAAAGTACTCTCTGTTCTACATCCATGGAGCTCCAGAGGAAGGAGCTGCACTGTCAATCCAAAGACACGTACGTAGTTCAAGTCTACCAGCTGCTCAGGGGAAGAAAGATAGAAAGCTCTTCTCCTGTGATTTAAAGTCTCTGAAAACCCGTGGGGGGTCAACTATGGGTTGGCTCTAACAGCAGCAATGAGTCTTTACAGTTGTGCTTCTGGATCTCCACTCACCCCTCCTTCAGTTTACACTTGTGGGAAACAACTGACCAGTGCTAGAGGCCTCACAACAACTCTGCAAGATGAACGTTACTAAAATCTCTGCTTTAAATGGTTGCTGGAAGAACACATGGACAAGCTGGGCAAAATGAAAAATTAATAATTATGTTGGGTGAAGGGAAAGGCAATATACAATAAGGGTTTGATTGTTTTTGTCATTGTTGTTAGGTACCTTTGAATTGACTACCACTCACAGTGATCCTATGAACAATAGATCTGTACCTTGTAATAGAATAGTATTAATAAATTCAAGATTATTCAAACACATGGCATAGCTCTAAAAACTTGACCTCCTGGGGTTCTAGTCCAAACTCATTGAACTGTCAAATTAACATTTGTTTAATCCTCAAACCCTCTTCTTGTAATTTCTCTATAGTCATGCAAACTACCTTAAGCTGTCTCTTTACTGGGAAAGGAAATGCATCTTTCCTGAGCTAGCATTTATCTTTTCTAACTGCATTTTTCTCAGCCATATGTTGAGCTTTGGTGGCCTAGTGGCAGGAAGCTGTGCTGCAATCCCAAAAGCATGAAGTTTGAGGCCACCAGCTACTCTGTGGGAGAAGGATGGGCAATAGCTTTCTGTGTAATTAACTGCCTCTGAAAAGCCACCAGAGGGTCAGCCATGGGTCAGTTCCAACTCTATATAGTGCACAACAACATTTGTAAACAGTATTTCTAGTTGTCTGTTTACTAATGACTTCATGGAAACTATTCTTTGGAACGTAATTGTGAACTAGCAATGGCAATATGTTAAATAGATTAACATATAACCTAAATATAAAGACTAATAACCATTCTTAGCTGGTGGGAGGAGTGGGGGATATGAGGTAGCAGGGATGAGGGTAGTGGAGAGGCAATTTTTAGAGAATTCTCTCTGCTTTCCCAGATCAGCAATAAAGTGCTTTGGATACTACAATCCATCTGTATAATTGGCAAGTGACTAAAGAAAGAACCCCTGGTGTTCACTACTAACACTAAGCCATCCTCATCATTGCTAACAGATTCAAAACCATTATTACAATCACTGTGTCAATCTATCCTTTTGGGGTTCTTCCTTTCTTTCTCTGACCCTTCTTCTTTCCCAGTATGATGTCTTTCTCCAAAGCCTGTCCAGATATCATGATTAATTATAATAATCTATTTTAATTAATGGTATAAAATAAGTGTCTATGAATGATTAAATAAAAACATAATATGATTTGTAAACTTTCACTAAAATAAAGAAATATCTCTATATTAAGGACCTGGATAGGTAAGATGGATGGAATTGAGTGCCTTGGAATTTGTCTTGCACTTAGATTGTATCAATAAAAACAGATATCTTTAAGATAGCAATAATGCAGGCCAAAAAAAGCGTTAATTTTTTTCAATAATATTTTATTGTGTTTTAGGTGAAAGTTTGCAGAGCAAATTAGGGTCCCATCTGATAATTTCTGCCTTTTGAGCTTTGCTTTGTTGATTGTACTGAGGAACACTGTCTTTCTCAATGTTTATTAATTTTATAGTCCTATCTATAGTTTGGAAGGAGGAGAGGCATCCACTTCCATAATAGCTTGCCTCTGGAAACCCTATGAACCTGGAGAAAGGACGAAAGGCACCCAAGCATTGAGGACTCTCCTTTATAGGGTCACTATGAATCACCTGCGACTCAACAGCACTTAACAACAACAACAACAACAACATCTATAGTTTGACTAAAAATTGGTCCCAGAGATAAGTTCAGCTCCAGGCTTAAAGGATATCTAAGGACCAGAGTCCTGAGGAGAACAGGATGGGGCTGACAGGGAAGAGGGCACACTGCAGGGTGGATAGAGAGGGCAGAGGTAGCAGTCAGAGAGGGAGCAGGGGTCACCTCAGTGCTTGAAATGAGGCCAGTTCTTAATGATGTTATACAACGCCTTCCCAGGTGACAGGATGTTGACCACATCACTGTGGCCAACCAGAAGGTAGTCTGGAATCAGGTACCCCTCCTCCACCGCACACTGGATCAGGTTCTGAGCAGCCTCCAGTGCTGCATTGTTTGGTGGCTTTTCTATGGAAAATATTAGGGTGTTAAATTTCTTTGCTTCAGACAGAGATAGTTCTTAAATTCCTTTCTTTCTCCTGCCCTCCACCACCAGTAAATTTAATCGTAGTACCCATGCACAAAGAAAAAACAAGATTTCTGTGTTTCCTGATTCCTTTTGCCATAGTTTCTTCTAGAAAGTTAAAAACTACTCTGGAAGAGAGCTGCAGACAACACAGTATTGTATCTGTAGGTGATCAAGCCTCAGCACACGCTTTCAAAGCCAATCCAGTATCATTCTACGTCTTTTGCCATAATTGGACATTATGCTTCATTGAATAGTACCCCAAGTATCAAGAGGTTGCATTTGCAGATGGGACTTATAAAACAATAAAGTTTACAGAGTTTTGTGTTTCTCTCTTGTTTTATGCTATGCTTTGGTATGAATAGAAAGATAGCACCATATGTGACAATGAGTAGTTTGGGGGAGAGTGCCTTGTCTGAGAAGAATTCCTAGGGGTACTCATGCTGTATTGAGAGTCCGATTTAAAACTAAAATGCTTTACGAACACATCTTGAAATGTTCACCAACTTGACTGAATTGCCTTTTCCATCATGTTACCACACATCCCAAATGACATTTCATTACCCAGAATCCTTCTGCTCTAAGTTCATGTCTTACCTACAAAACTGCCTATGAAGGCAATTCCTAGGGCAATATCATTGTATCCGTAGGTGTGAGAGCCTTGGAAATGCCAGCCAACCCCTTCATATACACCACCATCCTGGCCAACCAGGAAGCTAGAATTGAGCAAAGGAAAATTAAGTTTAGCATTGAGGAAAGTTATTCTGGGAAGAATAATTTGTCTTATTCATTCCTTTAATCATTCCTAATTTTATCTATTTATTAGACATTGCTGTAACATCTCACAGGATAGGACAGGGTTCAGACCTGTTGTTCATTGGGTCTCTGAGTCATACTCAACTCTACAACACCTAACAACAACAAAATTTGTGCCAGCAGTGTGCACAGATTTTTTTTCTCTTTTAAAAAAGACCTAAAATCCCACAACTCAAGAGGTGATGATAGATGGGCAGAATTATAGTAATTTGACACACAGAAATATAGACCTTGTCCACTCAACCCTATTCAATCTGATCTCCCAAGGTGATCAATGATCTTTCTAACACTAAGTACAATGGCTACTACTTCTGAATCACACTAAACTTACGGACCACTCTCTTCTTGAAATATTCTTATCCTTTACCTCTGACAAACACAGTCTCTTCTGATTTTCCTCTTCTCTAGTCCTCCTTAGACTCTTCTGCCAAGCTACCTTCTTGGACCCTTTCTTCTAACGTGATATTTCTCAGGACTCTGGTCTGGGTCCTTTTCTCTTCCCACTAAGTATGTTCTCCTGAGGCAATTCCTTCACTCCCACAGGTTCAATTACTGTCCATAAAAGTCTACATTTCCAAACCCTTTCTCCTTTCTCCTTTTCCTAAGCCAAAGAATTAACCATCATCTTGAATGCATCCTTTTCAATCACCCAGTCCAATCCAATGGCTTGTTAGTTCTACTACCTACATATCTTTTAAATTCTTCCACTTCTCTCTATGCTGACTACCACTACTACCTTGGTCTAAATCACCAATATCTGTTGTCTTAATTAATGCAATAGCTCTGTGCTCACGGTTTTATCTCCTTCCAAGCCAGTTGTAGGAAAAAATAGTATGCACAAGAATACCTCCTCCATCCCACCCTGCAAAAAAAGTATCAACTTTCCAAGACCTGATGCACAGAACCTGTGAATGTGCTAGGTTGCATGCTAAGAGGAATTACAGTTGCGAATTGAATTAGGGTTGTTATTGTTTTAAACATGATGAGGTTATTTTTGCTAAACTTGTGGTCCAATGTAATCATGAGAGTCCATATTAGTGGAACAGGGAAACAGAAGAGAATGAATGAGAGATGGCAGCATGACAAGAACTCAACCCACTATTGGTTCTATGGTGAAGAATGGGCCGTGGACTAAGGATGCTGGAAAAGGTAAGATAATAGATTTCTATCCTGGAGACTTCACAAGGGAAAAAAAGCCCTGTGGATGTTAGCTTTCCCTAAAAGTCAAACCCATTACTACTGAATAATTTTAACTCATGGCAAGCCCAGATATTATGGAGCACAACTGCTCTATAGAGTTTTCTTGGCTGTCATCTTTATGGAAACAAATTGCCAGTGTCTTTTTCTGCTCAGCTGCTGAGTGTGTTTTAGTAGCTAACTAATGAGCAACCAAGTACAAACCTTTTTTTTTTTTCACCCAGGGACCTAACTTCATCCAAATAAGACCCTTTTGGAATCTGCCTTCTAGAACTGTAACATAATAAATCTGTGCCTTTCCCAAGCAGTATAAAAATATAGAAGTGATTTGTGACAGCAGCAATAGGAAATGAATATGAGCAGTTGACGTGGTTGGGTTTCTTTTTTAAGAAAAGTAGATTCTAGTGCAAAAATGAATGAATGGAAATCCAAAGTCTGTAAATTTTCATTAAAAATAATAATAATTTAAAAAAATTCCCATGTTAAAAAAAAGCAGATTGTATTTTTTAAAGTAGATTCTTTTATAGGAAACTTTAGTGGTCTAGTTGTAAGAAGCTATGCTGCAATTCTGAAGGTACACAGTTTGAGACCACCAGCTCCTCTGTGGCAGAAGGATGGGCAATCTCTTCCCATGCAGTTAACGGTCTTTAAAAATCCACCAGAAGGCCAGCTATGGGTCAATTCTGACTCTATGGTACTCAACAACAACAGATTCTATTATATTTACTAGGGTTCCTGGTGACACAATGCATAACATATCGAGCTGCTAACAGAAAAGGTCAACAGTTTAAATTCACCATCTGCTGTGAGGAAGAAAGATGAACCATCTCCTCCCATAAAGATTTAGAGCTTTGGAAACCTGGTGAAGAGTTGCTAGGAGTTGAAAACTTGGCTTTAGTATTACTGAATGGTGTTACCATTAGCTTCCAGTTGTCTTTCATGTGGAATCAGGTTCTCAGAGTCAATTACAAGACCCCTCACCATGTGATTCATCTATTTCTCCAGCCTTTCTTCTTCCCTCTCTTTTCTTTAAAAACTAAATTTTTAGACAAGTCAAACTTTTTTCGTTCCTTAGAATTTCATGAAACAACATATGAGCAAGTGTCTCTGGTGATGAAGGAGGAAGTTCAAGTTGCTCTGAAAGGATTGGCAAAAAAAAAACAAGGCTCCAGGAGTTGATGGTATACCAACTGACATATTTCAACAAACAGACACAACCCTGGATGTGCTCATCAAGTTGTGCCAAGAAATCTGGAGGACAGCCACCTGGCCAACTGAATGGAAGAGATCCAAATTTTTCCTATTCCAAAGAAGGGTGACCCAACAGAGTGTGGAAATTATTGAACAATATCAATGATATCACATGCAAACAAGATTTTGCTGAAAATTATCCAAAAATGAGTGGAGCAACACATCAACAGAGAACTGTCAGATGGGCAGGCTGGGTTTAGAAGAGGCTGTGGTACTAGGGACATTATAGCTAATGTTAGATGGATTTTGGTAGAAAGCAGAGAGTACCAGAGGAATGTCTAGCTGTGCTTCATTGACTATGCAAAGGCTTTTGACTGTGTGGATCACAACAAACTGTGGCTAACTTTGAGAAGAATGGGAATCCCAGAACACTTGATTATACTTATGTGAAATCTATACTTGAACCAAAAGGAGTCATCAGAACAGAGCAAAGAGACACTACATGGTTCAAAATCGGGAAGGGTGTCTGCTAGGGATGTATTCTGTCTCCACACTTTTTCAATCTGTATGCAAAACAGATCATCTGGGACACTGGGCTGAACAAGGAGGAAAGTGGCATCAGGATTGGAGGAAGAGTCATCAACAACTTGCATTATGCAGATAACACAACCTTGTTTACTAAAACTGAGGAGGACCTGAAGCGCTTGCTGCAGAAGGTCAAGGACTACAGCCTTCAATATGGATTGATGCTCAATAGCAAGAAAACAAAGATTCTCACCACTGGGCCAATTGGCAGCATCATTATGGATGGTGAAGAGATTGAGATTGTTAACAGTTACAGCTTGCTCAGCTAATCAACACTCTTGGCATCAGCAATCAGGAAATCAAAAGATAAATTGCATTAGGTAAATCTGCTGTCAGAGACCTCTCCATAGTACTTAGAGGCAATGATGTCAGTCTAGAGATTAATGTGAGCCTGATCCAGGCCATGTTCTTTGCCATTACTTGCTATGCACCAGAGAACTGGACAATGACTAAGGATGACAGAAGAAGAATCAATGTCTTTGAGTTGTGGTGCTGGAGAAGAGTCAAACATGTCATGGACCACCAAGAAAACAAATAAATGTGTCTTGTTGTTGTTGTTGTTGTTGTTAAGTGCCATCGAGTTGTAGGCGACTCATAGCAACCCTATGAAGGAAAGTCCTCCACACTTGTGTGATTTCATCCTCTCTCCAGGTTCATAGGGTTTCCGGAGGCAAGCTTTTATGAAAGTGGATGCCACTCTTGCTTCCAAGCTTGTTTTAATCAGGGAGCTACACCAAACACTGTCCACCGTGCTTAACCATTAACACATTTGACAGACACATCAGTGTCACAGTGTTCAGCTTCACAGCAACCACAAGTTACCGCTGTAAGGCAAGTGGACACACGAGTGAAACCAAGTCTTTCCTGAAAGTCTAGGATTTTGAAGCTGCATCTCACATACTTTGGGCATGTGATAAGGAGGGATTGATCCTTGGAGAAGGACATCATATTCAGAGAGGTGGAGGGAGAGCGCAAGAGAGGAAGACCCTGGATGAGTTGGATTGATACAGTAACTAGGGAAATGGGGGAAGGTGTGTCAGAGTCAACGAGACTGGCTTAGGATAGGGCAGGATTCAGAGCTGTTGTACACAGTGTTGCTATGAGTCACAAGCAACTTGGTGGAACATAACAACAAGAACATAATTGTGCAATGAGATCAATAAAACTAGAAGTATAGAATTCTAATGGTAGAGAGAGCAAGTTTGGAATAGGACCAGACTAATGTAGGGTCTAGGTAGGACGTATGTCTTACAAAGGAATCATATTTTAAAAAGGAATCCTTGACAGTAATCCTAAAGAATTCCTTACAGTTGTTTTATTATTACTAGTTCTAGGGCCCTCAAGCACTTATGGAGAAACTACTCAGAAGAGATAAGTAATTCTCAGTTATTCCCTGAATGATACATAGTCCAAAGTTTTGTCGAGGCTAAAATGATGCCACTTAGGCAAAACCTGGTTCAAAAGACCACCACCAGAAACATAATAAAATGTAAAAATCCCAAGCTCACTGCTTTCTAATCAGTTCTAACTCATTGAGAGCCTTCATCAGGTTTCCAAGGCTTCATATATTAACAGCAGGAGACTGTCCCTCTTTCTCCCTCCATCACTGGTGCACTGAAACATGAGAGACAAATGGTCTTTTGATGGCCATGCTATGAATTACACCACCTGAGCTCAGGAAGTATCAGTTCTCATCTTTCACTTATATACCCTGCTTGTCCTGAAATGAAAGCCATGGTTCCACTGACCCCACTTACTGATATGCAATATCACAGAAGTCCCTTTTGTCGATGTGAACGGACTGTATGTCTCGGATGCGAATCTGGCAGTCCACAGACACATTGCAGCTGGTCTCCGCAGTGTGAATGATGATGACGTACCTGGCCGGGAGGTCCATTTTAGGGCACTGTGTTTCTCTAGCTCCCCACACAGACCGTGTGATGATGTTGGGGCAAACTACAGGAAAGTGAAAAATTTTTTTAAGGGGAATTTTATTTTTTTTTTAAAGTAGCTCTGTGTGTACGAGTGTATGTGTCTCTAATTACTCACTTATACATAAATCTGGATATGTGCAGCTGCCCCGTTTTCATGTTTTATTTTCCCCCATAGTTTTTATGTGATTTGAAAGAAAATGTATTTTACTTGCTGATTTGTTTTCTGATTTCATTTACCTGAAGATAGAGGGTTTGTCTCTTTTGTTCCCAGCTGTATGTCGAGTACTCAGAAGAGTGTCAGGTTTCAATAATATGTGTTGATTGAGTGAAATCATGTACCCATATCTATGTATTTATGTTAGTAAATTATTCCAGGTTCTATTATTCTAGTAGGATGGAGAAGAAGCCAAGCATCTCCAATGTCTTCAAATCTCTATGTTATGATAGACGTGAGACATGTTCTCGAGCCAAGAAGTCAGTGATAGCCAATAGGAAAGCATGTTCCCAAACAGGACTACGGTCGTAACAGAGAGAAGAGTGAGGTGGGATTGAGGGCCTTACCTTTCATGGGCATCACTTGCTGTTGAGGAACAAGGCAGATATCATTTTGCAGAATAAGAGGCTGAATGTACCTGGGTGCCAGGTGCCCCTTCTGGACGGCATAGGAGATGAGGTCCTCTGCAGCTGATAAGGCAACAGGACTGGGATTGCTACCTGAAAGGATGACAAGAAACACAGCACTATCAGGAAGACAACCCAGCCAGGTCTAGAAACTGAGAAGGAGAATAAAGTGATCACTTGTCCCTGAATAGTTGGTGGACAGGAAGAGAGGAAGTAAGTAAAAAGCTAGATCAGAGGACCCAAGAGGCAAGGGACTACCTGGACAGAGCTCCCAGCAGCCAAGGTTGGAAATCTCTTCTAAGCACCAAGCTAAGACTTAGATTGTTCATTTCCTCTCTAGGTGGAAGCCTAGAAAGCAGTGAAAGCTACATACAAAGGGAGACCCACTTGGGCAAGCAAGGTGGAACCTTTAGCATTAATTTAACAGGTAGTTCTCATAACTAGGCATGCAGCAAGGGATTTTTTTTTTCATCTATTAACTCACTTAATTGTCATAGAAAATCCCTGTGTTCTAGCTCCAGTTGGCAAATCAGGACACTGAGTGTGCCCATTCTCAAACTTCCTTGCCCTGCCTTTCTGCTAGGGAAGCTCTGAAGGAATAGAGAGGCCACGTTTTTCTGATTCTGTCAGCAGCAGCAACAGTCAAATAATTGCAGACTCCAGAAATGATAGCAAACATCTGTGAGCTCAACCAGTGTCAATGGTGGTGGCAGCAACATTACTAAAGTTCAGGCAAAAGATGAGAGAAAAAGACACAGATGCCATGTCACAGAAGCCAAGATGTCATCAGAGAAGACATGTATGATACAGGCTGAACAGACAAGAATGTTTGAGGTGAAAGAATAGTTGAAGTAAATATAGACAACTCTCTGGAAAAGAGTTAGCAGAACATGACAGTTACCCATCTTATTTCCAAAAAAGGCAATGCCCAAAGAGACATTGTTGTAGCCTTGGGTGTGTAGACCTTGTATGCTCCAGCCAACACCTTCATATACCCTGCCATCATCACCAATCAGGAAGCTGTCAATTAAGAATATGTAGACTTAATGGATAATCCTTGTATCAGAAAACCTATCATAATCCTTAGACAGGAAAGGGGTCCTTATTGTTGTTATTGGTGGGTACTGTCCATTGTCTATGACTCATAGCAACATCATGCACAACAGTACAAGTAAATATTATGCTTCAATAACACCATGGTGAGGAGGGAAAAGAACACATTTTAGACCTCCAAGAGGTGTCATTTGATCTAGGTGGTCATTGTATCAGCATCAGATTCATGGTGACTCTATGCACAATGGACAAAGCATTGCTTGGTTTGTTTTACATATTTATAAAATTGTCATTGGTTGAGTTCTAAAAAACAGATCATGATTACCTTTCTTGCTTGTCTGACTTAGTTTTCAAGTTCTAAGTAAACCTTTTTAGCATCACATTAACCAGTCAGTCATAATTGGTTCACAGGCAGTAGCTCTCTGTTGGCTAAGAATCAAAGGTCTTGTCATGATAGGCAAGAATCCTACCATTAAATCACGACTGCCTTCAGAAGATGTAAGAATTTATAACTTTTTTTTTACTTAGCTTGGATGTATTTCCAGCACCTCAATTAAAAAAAATATTCACTGGCTTCAAAGTAGAATTAGAATGTGTGACTCTCAAGTATTCAAGAACATTGATACTATATTTTTCAAAGACTTTAACATTTATCATAAATGTCTTTCATTTGTTTGGTTTGGGTTTGTAGTTATTTGTGTTTTTACTAGTAGGACCAATTATTCGAACATCCTTTAAAATAAAACCAGTTGAGTGAAGGGAAAGACAATGTACAATAAGAATTTGAGGAGACATTGTTATTAATTACATTAATCAATTGCAATTAATGTTATAAAACAAAATATGTCTGAATGATTGAATGAAAACCAGCATGGTTTGTAAAACTTTTGCTTAAACAAAAGCAAACAAAATCATAAAGGAGAAAATCCACCAATCAACAGAATTCATAAATTTCTTTAGTTATTTTTTTAGGAATTCTTCTAGATTCTTCTTCACCATAAGAATTTGTCTATTGTTTTTACTTCGGCTAATTCACTTCTATCTATTATATTATTCTACAACTTATATTTGTGCATCCTAATAGGGAACACTTGTAGCTAGCGCTAAGATGCTGAACTGCAGTCTCAGAGGTATGATGTTCAAATCCACCAGCTGCTCCATGGGAGTAGTGTGAGTAATCTCCTCCCATGTAATTTTCTGCCACTAAAAAGTCCCTGGAGGTTTAGCAATGGGTCGGTTATGACTCAGCTGAACACAATAACAATAAATGCATGGACTCACTAATGCGTTCTAGGAAATTTGGAAGAATGCTACCTGGCCAACTGATTAAAAGAGATTCACATTTGTTTCCATTTCCAAGAAAGGTGATTTGACAGAATAGATTCACATCTGTTCCCATTTCCAAGAAAAGTGATCCAACAGAATGTGGAAATTATTGAACAATTTTATTAATGTCACATGCAGGCAAAATGTTGCTGAGGATCATCCAAAAATGGCTAGAACAGTACATCGAAAGAAAACTTCACAAGTTCAAGCTGAATTTAGAAGAGGATATGGCACCAGGAATATAATTGCTGATGCCAGATGGATCTTGGCTGAAAGCAGAAACTACCAGAATATTTATTTTGCTTTATTGACTATGCAAAGGCATTTGACTGTGTGGATTACAGCAAGCTACAACTAATATTGAGGAAAAAAATGAGAAGACCAGAATATTTAGTTGTGCTCATGCAAAGTTATACCTAGACCAAGAAGCTGCCATCAACAGAACAAGGGAACACTGCATGGTTTAAACTTACCTAAAAATGCATATCAGGGCTACGTCTTTTCTTCATACCTATACAATTTGACTGCAGCTTTCAGTCTGGACTGAGGCTCAATGTCAAGAAGACAAAAATTCTTACCACTGGACCAATCAGTAGTATCAGGATGGATGGTGAAGAGATTGAGATTGTTCACAGCTTCAGTTTGCTCGGCTCCATGGTCAACACTCTTGGCACCAGCAGCCAGGAAATAAAAAAACAAATTGCGATGGGAAAGTCTGCAGTTAGGGACCTCTCTAAAGTACTCAAGAGCAACGGTGTCTCTCTGGAGACTAAGGTCCGCCTGATACAGGCCATGGTCTTTGCAATCACTTGTTATGCATCAGAGAGTTGGACAATGGCTAGGGGGGACAGAAGAAGGATTGACGCCTTTGAGCTGTGGTGCTGGAGAAGAGTATTGAATGTTCCATGGACTGCCAAGAAAACAAACAGATCCATCCTAGAGAGGGTTAAACCAGGCCACTCCTTGGAGGCAAGGATTCTGGGGCTTCGTCTGACATACTTTGGACATGTTGTAAGGCGAGACAGGTCCTTGGAGAGGGACATCATGCTTGGTAGGGAAGAGGGACAGCGCAGGAGGGGAAGACCCTCTATGAGGTGGATTGATTCAGTGACTGGAGTAATCGGGATGGGTGTGTCAGAGGCAATGCGATTGGCACAGGATAGGGCAGGGTTTAGGGCTGTTGTACATAGGGTCGCTATGAGTTGCAAACGACTCGACGGCACATAACAACAACAACATACAATTTGAATACTGAGCAAATAATTTGAGATACTGGACTTTATGAATTTTAGTATATGTGCTGCCGAAGCAAGCACAAGAGACTGGACTTTATGAAGAAGAAGATAGCATCAATATTAGAGGAAGACTCGTCAACAACTTACATTATGAAGATATACAACCTTGCTTGTTGAAAGCAACGAGGACCTGAAGATCAAGGACTATAGCCTTAAATATTAATTGCATCTCAACATCAAGTAGACAAAAGTTCTCACAATTGAACCAGTAAGAAACATCATGCTAAATGGAGAAAAGATGGACGTTGTCAATGATTTAATCTTACTTGGATCCACAATAAACACCCTTCGTACCAGAAGCCAGGAAATTAAGAACCTCATTGTACTGAGAGAGTTTGTAGTCCAGGACCTCTCCAAAGTCCTGGAGAGCAAGGATGTCACTTTGAAGACCGAGGTGTACCTATTTTGAGTCATAGTCTTTTCAATCACCTATTATGAATCTAAGAGTTAGACAATGAATAAGGAAGAATGACAAAAGAATGGACACCTTTGATTTGTGTTGGAGGAGAATACCGAATATCTCATGAATAGTCAAAAGAACAAATAGATATATCATTGAGAAAGTGCAGCCAGAGTACTTCTTAGAGGCAAGGACGGTGAAGCTTTATCCTACATATTTTGGGCATGTTGTTAGGAGGAGCTATTCCTTGGACAGAAGTGTCATGCTTGTAAAGGCAAAGGGTAAGCATCAGAAAGGAAGATCTTCAATGAGATAGATTGACACAGTGCCTGGGGCAATGAGGTCAAGTGTGTTAGAGATAAAAATGGCACAGAATAGGACAGAGTCCAGATCTGTTCACAGGATCACTAGGAGTTGTACTTGACTCAATGGCACCTAACAACAATTTTTTTCAGGGAGCTCTGGTGACCTAGTAGGTGAAAGATTTTATAGTTTCTATTTTCCTAGATTCTTATGTCTTGCATTCCATGGTGGACTAGTGGCAAGGAGCTGCCCTGCTATCCCAAAGGCACGTAGTTCAAGGCCACCAGCTGCTCCATGGTGGAAAGGTGCACAATCTCCTCTTGTGCAATCAACTGCCTCTGAAAACCTGCATGAGGGTCAGCTATGGGTCAGTTTTGACTCTATGGTACCCAACAATAACAACAACATTCTATGTGCCAATTATTAATGGATATTTACTGCTGTTTCTTCATATTTTGGGACAGGTATTTCATTGGGTATAAACTTTGCACTACCTGTGTCATTAAGATAGATTCTACTTTTTGGAGGTATCAACTTCAACAGTTGCATTCTGAATACCTTCCAAATTAAGGAGTTCCTCTTACAAGACTGTATAGGACAATGTTTGCTGTTACTCAGAGGGTTTTAGGGTTCTGTTATTTCAGAAATATGTGAACAGGACTGATTTTTAGTCTATAAAATTTACTGAAATCTGCCTACCATGGATGAACCTTCTGGTATTCAAGTACAGGTAGCATTGCTACCAACATCAGAGCAAGTTGCCACAGAATGACAAACTGACAGATGAGTGATGAATCAAACAATCATATAATCTACTAAGCCAAAAGGACAAACTGAAGAAGAATAAAATTACACTAATCATAAAAAAAGAACATTTCAAGATTTGTCCTGATGTTCAATGCTGTCAAGAATAAGAAAAGAACCATACCCATATAAGGAAGACCTATTAATACAACTATAATTCAAATATATATGCCATCTATTAAAGTCAAAGATGAAAAAATAATGAGGTTTTCTACTGACTTCTGCATTCGGAAATTGACGGAACATGAAAGAGATGCAAAAATAACAATTAGTGACTGGGATACAAAAGTTGGAAGCAAAGAAGACTGAAAGTGGAGAAAGCTGGGCATGATGACAGAAATGAGGCCAGAGATCACATGATAGTTTTATGTAAAATCAATTATTTAGTCATTACAACTATCTTTAAAAAAAAACAAACTAACAACTTGAGAAGACTATACACAAGAACTTTGTCTCATGAAAGATACAGAAAACAAACTGACTATAGGTTTGGAAAGTGACAGTGAAAAGATTCTGTATCAACAGTCAAAACAATGCCAGGAAGCAACTGTAAAAGAGATCAGCATATCTATAAGAACATGTTCAAGTTGAATACAAGAATATATTCTATTGAATACATGGAATGATTCTATTGAATGAGTGGAATACATTACATTCAGGTAGAAGTTCAACTTAAAAGTGAAGAAAATTAAAACAAGTACACACAAGTCAAAATATGGTCGTGAATTTATACCACTTGCATTTAAAAATCATTTCAATGCACACCCATGTTTATTGCGGCTTTGTTCTCAATAGCAAAGAGCTGGAAACAACCCAAGTGCCCATCAACAAACAAATGG